CAAGGTGAAGGTATGCTGTTCAAATCTATCAACTGCTCCACAAGAAGATGGGCAATCTCCTCTCATGCAATTTACTGCTTTTGAAAACTCACTGGTGCCTCAGCTCCGACTCGACAGTACAGGCCTCCTGTGTAGAATGGATGATGTTGACTTTTGCTCTGAGAGAGGTGGAAACCATGGAAGGTTCTGAAGAGAGGAACCTCAGATGCTCAGGGGAAAACAGCTGTGGAGACTCTGAGAATGGAAGCTAATACCAAGGAGGAGTTCTCTGGTGTTGAGAATGGTGGCTGCATGGAGGAAGACTGACTGGACTCCTGTTGTGCTTGGCTGGGGGAGACGTGATGAGGTGCTTGGATATTAGGGTGAGGGAGGTGTTGAGTTAGCTTCAGCGTTCATGACTAAGCTTCTGGAAGAATAAGAGGGCTGTGAGGAGTTGCGGGGCAGGTCCAAGGAGCTCAGTGAGGCCTGAATGCATGAGTGGCCCATGGACAGCCATTTGGGGGTGCTATGGCGCCACTAGAATCATGAATTAGGGAAGTTAGGATTGAAATTGGGCTTCTCAGAGCCTCAATAGAATCTCTGCGTGGTACAAATGGTGAAAGTGTTCAGCGTTACTTATGAACCTTGAGGTTCGAGTCCACCTACCGGCACCTCAGAAGAAAGGTTTGGTGATCTACTTTCCAAAATTAACATTTGAAAACACTCATGAGTTCATATGTCCTGGAGGAACTGAAACCAGGATGCTCTTTGGAGGCAAGGATGGTGAAACTTCATCTCACTTACTTTGGGCATGCTGTTAGGAGGGGCCAGTCCTTGGAAAAAGACATCATGCTTGGAGAGGTGGAGGGTCAATGAAGAAGAGGAAGACCCTCCTCAACAAGATGCAATGATATGGTCACAATAGCAATGGACTTTAACATATCAGGGATGATGAGGATGGAAAACGATAGGGCAAGGTTCAGATATTTGGTTCACAGGGTAGCTATGAGGCATTGTTGACTCAATGGAACCTTACACCAAACAACACAGAGCGTAGTTCTACTCAGATATACATGGGGTTTAAAGTGAATTGGAGTTACTAGATAGAAATGAAATGGCCATCAACAAACGAATGGATAGAGAAACTGTGGTGTATTCACTCAATGGAATACTATGCTGCATTGAAAAACAAGGAACTCATGAAATATTATACAGAATGGGTGGCCCTGGAGGACATTTTGTTGAGTGATATATCTGTCACAAAAGGACAAGTATTGCATAGTGTCATTGTTGTAAAATGGGACTGACATCGGGGTTGGAGGTAGACTGAGAAAGATGGGATGTATTACATATACTGCATTGAAACAGATGAGGGAGAGAACTGTTTAAAAGGGATATATATAATTAGGTATTATTGTCATGACAGGAGTCCAGAATGAATGCTGCATAGTGTAGTGAACTTGGAGGGAGGGATTGTATAACAATGAAAGAATTTTTCTTTTACTTTTCAAAGAGAAGAGCAGACTGGGGCGGGGGGGGGGGATGGTGAGGGAGAAAAGTGCAACACTGAATGAATAGAAAGCCAAAGTCTCTGTAAACATTCATTAAGACTAATAAAAAATAAAATAATTAAAAATAAGAAAGGAAATGGAAACAATTGTCCTGTCACCCATGCCCGCTAGAGGGAGCACATGAACCCATGCTCCACAAGCAGGGTGCACTAGCAGGCTTACAGTAATTGCTCCTCAATCCTCCTTTCTTTCCTGGTCGCATCTACTTGACACCCTCATTCTCTTTCTTAAAACCCCATCGTTGAATCCTAGTTTCCCTAGTCCCACCTGTATGTTATGCCTCTGAAGGGCATTTAATGGTCCTTGACAATCCCGGTGACCATCACTGCCACTTACATATCCTTTCTCAAGGTGACACTCCAGACCAGAGGGTCTCCTGGGAGGTATGTTCCATGATACACAGACACTGAGATATAGTGAATCCGCCATAAACAGAAACGATTCTATGTGCTCATGGTTGGAGACAAAATCCTGCAGAGGCAAAGCACATAGTACAGGCACCACTCACAGGCACCCAATAGAACTCCCTTGTGGGGTTTTGGAGTTTTCGAATTGCATTGTGAAAGTCAGCTGTGAGGGACCTCTCAAGAGTACTGAAGTGCAACGACGTTAGGCTGGAGACTAAGGTGTGCCTGATCCAGGCTATAGTCTTTGCAATTACGTGCTATGCATCAGAGATTTGGACAGTGACTAGAGATGATAGAAAGAGAATTGATGCCTTTGAGCTGTGGTGCTGGAGAAGAGTGTTGAATATACCATGGACTGCTAGGAGAACAAACAGGTTTGTCCAGGAGAAGGTGAAGCCAGAATGCTCCCTGGAGTCAAGGATTCTGAAGCTTCATCTGACATACTGTAGGCATGTTGCAAGGAGGGACTGGTCCTTGGAGAGGGACATCATGTTTGGGAGAGTGGAGGGACGGCGCAGGAGAGGAAGACCCTCGATGAGATGGATCGATTCTGTGAGTGGAGTGGTGGGAATGAATGTGTTTGAGACAGTGCGGTTGGCACAAGATAGATGGCATTTAGGGCTCTTGTACATAGGGTCGCTATGAGTCACAAATGACTCCATGGCACATAACATCAACAACAACAAGGTCTGTAGGAGTCAATGAGACATTGCCAATGTCAGATGGATCTTGACTGAATGCAAAGAGCACCAGAGGAATGTCTATCTGTGCTTCATTGAGTATGCAAAGGCTTTTGACCGTGTAGATCACAACAAATGGTGGCTAACTTTGAGAAGAATGGAAATACCATTACACATGGTTGTGTTCTTGCAAAACCTATACTTGGACCAGGAAGCAGTCCTTTGAACAGAGCAAGGAAACACTGCATGGTTCAAAATCGGGAAAGGTGTGCATCAGGTATGCATCCTGTCTCCACACCTTTTCAATCTATATGCGGAACAAATAATTTTTGAGGGTGGACTTTATGAGGAGGAGTGTGGCATCAGGATTAGAGGAAGACTCATCAACAACCTGTGTTATGCAGATGATACAACCTTTCTTGCTGAAAGTGAAGACCTGAAGCATTTGCTGCAGAAGTTCAAGGACTATATAGTCTTCAATATAGATAGAAGCTTAACATCAAGACGACAAAGATTCTCACCACTGGGCTAAATGGCAGCACCACGATAGATGGAGAAGAGATTAAAATTGTTTACAATTTCAGTTTACTCGGCTCCACAATTAACACTCTTGGCACCAGCAGTCAGGCAATCAACAGACAAATTGCATTGCAGAAGTCTGTTAACAGGGACCTCTCCAAAGTCCTAAAGAGCACTGATGTCTGTCTAGAGACTAAGGTGGGCTTGATCCAGGCCATGGTCTTCACAATTACTTGTCATGCGTGAGAGAGCTGGACAATGACTAAGGATGACAGAAGAAGAATCGATGCCTTTGAGTTGTGCTGGAGAAGAGTATTAAACACACCATAGACTTCTAGGAGAGAAAAAATAGGTCTGTCCTGGAGAGGGTGAAACCAGTTTGTACCCTGAAGGCAAGGATTTTGAAGGTCCATCTCACATACTTAGGGCATGTAGCCAAGAGGGACCAGACTTTGGAGAAGGACATCTTGCTTGGAAGGGTAGAAGGTCAGTGCAGAAGGGTAAGACCCTGGATGAGATGAAATGACACAGTGACTGTGGCAATGGGATCAGGTGTGTTGGAGATGGTGAAGGCTTAGTATAGGCAAGGTTCATGGGTCCCTATGGGTTGTAGTAGAGTTCACAGTACATAACAACAACAACAACAGGTCTTTCTGGACTTGTTATGGCTGACTGCCACATGTTTCTTTCATGAAACAGCTAGGGGATTTGACCTTTCTGCTCAGTGCTTAACTACTGTGCTGCCACCAGAGCTCTGTAGGGACCCAGCTACACCCAGATACATACATATCCATACAAACACCCGGGCACATGTGATAGAAATCCTTGTGATAGAAGCTATAAAACAGGTTTTAGATACTTGGGGTGGACTTTTATTTGGCCCTTTATTTAGCTGTGCCTGAAGGTGGCCTAGAGTTAAGCAAGCTCTAGGGTTTTCCCTCATTTTTCTTGAGGCCATGCAAGTTGAATGTTTTGGTTTGTCGCTACAAAGTGCTGACTGGTAGAGATGAAGAAGTCCTTTGCCAGGTGAAAATGACTGAGAAAGGAGTTGTCCCAAGAGGTAATGACAGCATGTTTAGAAGTTGCTGGAAACAAAGACAGCATGGCTAGTTACAAGCTGGACTATAGTGTACACAACAGTATTGGAAATCGATTTAAGTCAGATTGTTGTTGTTGTTAGGTGCCATCAAATAGAGTATGACTCATAGGGACTCCATGAACAAAAGATCTGAACCTTGTTCTATCCGATGTCATCATCACATTTCTTGACATACAAGAACCCATTGCAGCAGTCACCGCATCAATCCACCTGGTAGAGGGTCTTCCTTTCCTTTGCTGACCCTCCACACTACCCGGCTTCATGTTCTTCTCCAAGGAATAGAGACCCTCCTAGCAAGATACCCATAGTATCATTCTTGCCTCTAAAGAGCACTCCTGCAGTCTCACCAAGATATATTTGCTTGTTCCTTTTGCCACCCATGGGATATCCAGTGCTCTTCTTCAACATCACAGTTCAGCACCACAGCAAGATAAAGGTAAATAACCCAATTTTAAAATGGGCACAGGATATGAACAGACATATCACCAAAGAAGACATTCAAGTGGCCAACAAATACATGAAGAAATGTTCAAAATCCTTAGCTCTAAGAGAGATACAAATCAAAACAACTATGAGATATCATCTCACACCAGTAAGAATAGCAAAATTTAACAGAGCAGCAAACAACAAATGCTGGTGAGGTTGTGGAGAAACTGGAACCCTTATTCACTGTTGGTGAGAGTGTAAAATGCTGCAACCACTATGGAAGGCTGTATGGCTCTCTCTCAAAAAGTTGCAAATAGAAATACCATTTGACCCAGCAATTCCATTACTGGGAATATACCCTGAAGAAACCATAACTCCCACCCAGACAGATATATGCACATCCGCGTTTATTGTGGCTTTGTTCACAATAGCAAAGAGTTGGAAACAACCTAAGTGCCCATCAACAAATGGATAGAGAAGTTCTGGTATATCTACACAATGGAATACTATGCTGCATTGAAAAACAAGGAACTCATGCAATATTATTCAAAGTGGATGACCTTGGTCGGGGGAGCTCTGGTGGCCTAGTGGCAAGAAGCTGCACTGCAATCTCAGAGGTGCACTGTAAAAAACCACCAGATGCTGCTGAGGAAGGAGGAACAATCTCCTCCTGTACCAGTCAGGTCTGATTTGATGGTACACACACACAAAATAATAAAATAAAATTTAAAAAAATGGATGCCCTTGGAGGACATTATACTGTGTGAAATATTTCAGTCACAAAAGGTCAGGTGCTGCATGGTGCCACTATTGTAGAACGGGACTGACTGACATCAGGGTTGGGGTGAGACTGAGAAAAATTGGATAAATTATGTATACTGCATTGAAACAGATGAGGGAGAAAACGATTTGAAAGCGATATATGATTGGGTATTATGGTTATGACA